TAATAAATGTTTATGAACACTAAGGCCTTAGATCTTTCTGGAATTGGGTATGTCTAGTTTAATGAAAAGAAGGACTAGGTTGCTTCTCTCCTTGATTAGTTTCCACCCATTGCTTCTTGTCCTTCCCTCTGGTTCTTTGGAGAATAGCTTGACTCCCTCTTTTTTGTGGCAGCCTCTGAGATATTGGAAGACTGCTATCATGTCACCCCTAGTCCTTCTTTTCATTAAACTAGACATACCCAATTCCAGAAAGATCTAAGGCCTTAGTGTTCATAAACATTTATTATTGACATCAACTTGTTTTTCTGTTATATCTTTAAAGGTTTAACTTATCCAAACATAGTGAGAACATTTTTTTTAATTATTATTATTTAGCGTATGCATCTATAGAGGTCATGGAATCAATGATATGCAACGTTAATAAAACATTGTACCTACAAATACAAAGCTCAGCTTAAATAAAGCATCAGCATAGACACATTTTGTAAAATGTCACGGAGTAAGCCAAATGTTCAGACTGGATTTGGGTGGTTTGTTTTTTTTTGCAATTTTCAAGTCCTTCGTAAGCCGTTCTGTGCTGCGTTTTGCAATTGACTGATGGGGAGTTTGTCAATTCCAATGACGTTTATATTATTTTTATTATTTCTATTTTACTTGCCGCCCGTCTTGTTTCAGAACTTTCAGCATTCAAAGAATTCAAACAATCAAAGATAAATATTTTTTTTATATATTTTTTTTAATCATCATTATCATTTAAAGCAGATGAAAGCTCCAACCCCGAGGAGGCTGTCTTCAGTTGGGATGAATACCTGGAAGAGACAGGCTCTACAGCAGCTCCACACTCCTTATTTAAGCACGTAAGCGCATTGCCTGAACGGTAGGGTTTCTAGTCCTCATTGAGATTTTAGAAACGGCACAATTCTGTTTACTTAAAAGTAATTTCTGTTGCATTCAGGAATCTCCGGGCTACCCAATGTGGATTACAATTCCCATTATTTCTGATCATTAGCTGCTGGATACTGATATTTGAAATTGCATAGAGATTCTAGTCTTGGTTTAAATGGGCAGGACATGGGAAAAGGAGCTCAGTTAAGGAACTAGCAAAAAAAAAAAAAAAGAAGCTTAAATTGGCTGGATAGAAGCCAATTTTTTTTCCCCTGCAACTGTTCAGCTGTGAAATTAAGGCAGAGAAAGATAAAGAGACACGCATATTCAACTTAAGCCTGCAAATTAGTGGGAAAATGCTTTGCGAAGTTTAGCCTGGGAATCTTTCGTTTTGGCCAAAGAGAGAGTTGAAAGGCATCTAGCTGGCATGACAGGGAATTGATCGTGGCGGTTTCTAAAATTCAAAGCTCTATAATAAAATAGAACATATTTGAACAATAACGGGGACCTTATTAGTATAAAGAAAAGGAAGACTCGCATGGTATTATTGGACAAATTGGTTACAGCTTTGGTTTTTGCGATCCAGACAAGACTTCTGTTGTTGTTTTTTTTAAAAAAGCTTTGTAAATGTATTTTGTACTAGTTGATAACCCGGCATTGTCCAGATATTTACTTATCCCAGTGGTTCCCAAACTTGGCAACTTTAAGACTTGTGGACTTCAACTCCCAGAAGTCTCCAGCCAGCTCTGCTGGCTGGAGAATTCTGGGAGTTGAAGTCCACAAGTCTTAAAGTTGCCAAGTTTGGGAACCACTGACTTATCCCAATCCTGCATTAGACAGGAATGGTGATGTCAAGTGGCAACGTCAGCACAGAAGGGGCTGTCCTCCCTTCTTCCGTGAACGTCGTTGCAATTCCCAAAGAGGCTATGGCAAGAGCAACTTCTCCCTGAGCCCTGATTTTGGCGACAATTAAATTACTTAAAAATGTTTCCCCTGTGCCCTCCAGAAGTCTAATTTCTAATGTTGGATTTTCCCCCTTACCAGAGGGAGCCCCCTTGTGGAGCACTGTGAAGCTGTTCCCCTGGCAACTCCACTGCGCTGTACAGTAGAAGCCATTTTTCAGCAGTACAGTAGAAACCATTTTAAGGCACAACAGGCTATATATTAACAGAACACACACACTGAGGGGTTTTAGGGGTGTCTTACCCCCACAGTGTTTTTTTCCAGAGAGTAAGTCATCTGTCTACCAAGTTTGGTTGAGAGTTGCTCAGAATTATGTTGGAACATACACACAGACAAACACACACAGATATATATAGATATAGATATAGATATATATGATATAGATATATATATATGTGATATAGATATAGATAGATAGATAGATAGATAGATA